GAATTTAATTTTATAAGTGAGAAAATACTGCATAGTGATTGTAATAATATTATTGAAGAACTTAAATTAAAAATTCATACATTAATTCAAGAAACACCTGGCACTTAAGCTATATAACTGATATGTGGATGTCAAATCAAAATCTTGATTATATAACTGTTATATGCCATTTTATTAATAAAGAGTGAAACTTCATAAAATAATTTTAGCATTCAAAATGGTTCTCTCACCCCATATAGGAATTGCTATTAGTAAAACACTTTTAAGTGTTTTTATGATTGAAATATTGTATTAAGAATATTAGCAATCACTGTAGATAATGCGACTAGTAATAATGCTGCAATAAAAAATATAAAAGATATGCTTACTGAACAAAATATGTTTATTGCTAATAGATCTTTATTACATCAATGATGTTGTGCTTATATCTTAAATCTTATAGTTAGTGATAGTCTTAAAATGATTAGAAATATAATAAGTAAAATTAGAGAATGTGCAAAGTGGATTTATAGTTCACAATCCCAGCAACATAGTTTTGAAGATGCTATAATTGAGTGTTGTCTTGAACTTGTATCAAACCAACGACCAACTCTTGACATACCTACCTGCTAGAAGTTTGTATATTTGATGCTAGTATCTACTATTTCATATAAAAATGTATTTAGGTGTCTTGTATTGCAAGATATTAATTTTGATCATATTATACCTTCTGATGAGGACTGGACAAAGACCAAAATTATTTGTGATTTTTTAAAACTATTTTTTGAAAGTAATAGTAAACATTTAATATATTTAATTAAAAACTCATAATAATTATTTCTTAATATATAGTGACAACTATTATATTAGAAATACATATTCAACTGCAAATATTTTTCTTCCTTATTTAAGAGTAGAGTAAATGTAGATCATTTTTCATATGATTTATGTGGTATATTGAATTTTTACATAGTAAACAAAAAAATGCTTCTGATAAAACTTTTTAAAATTGTAATTAATATATATCAAATTTATATGATATATAGTTTAAAACAGTTTGTTTATGATAGTGAAGTTGCACAATATGCATTGTTTTAAAAAATTTTAACTTAACATATAATCGAAGTTTACTCAGATCACTATATGTTTTTCTCAGATAGTACAAAGAATTGCTAATTTTGATTGGTCAAATAATATGATGTTTATATGATATTATATAATATTGATTATACAATGTTGATCTACAATCTATTTTATATGAATTTGGAAATGTTGACACTCTACTCTTAATAAAAATTAAAGCATATCTTGAGCAAAATGCTACTAATATCAATTCTTTTATTTGTCAAATAGTAGTACCAATGCAAACTAAATTTAATAAGTATTAGGCAGATATAAAATATATATATTATATTGCATCAATAATAGATTCCTGTTATAAAATGTCATTGCTTACTCATATATATATGAATAAAATGCAATTATCATATTCTGAAGCAGAAGACAAACTAAATTTATTAAAATGAAGTAAGATATATATTTTAAATCTAATATTCTAATATAAAATTTATTATTTTTACGAACTAAATAATTATTGTGGAACTAACTCTTTCCACTGATCATCAAAACACAAATTTTCTGAAACACAAAATTAATAAAAACTACAAGACACAAAAAGCTACTAAGAAACAAATTTTAGAGCTTAAGAAAAGAAGAAGAGGATTACAAAAAACACTCAGTCTTTTAGAAGACTTGAGTAAAATGAACAGAAGTAGCAAAGAAATAGAAGTCATGAAAAATCATCGATATTTTTTTGCACTTTGCAAATTTTTGGAGAATCAGCCTTGATCCTGAATTGCAGATCTGTTTTGGTAGTACAAGAATCACTATATGTAATGAAAAATAAACAAGGAAAACACACCAAAAACCATGTAATAAAAATAAGCAATGCAGATAAACAATCACAACAAGTAGCAACAACAAACAACGATAACCAAAAAACAACAAGTTATGTAAAGCAGAAGTTAGTTCAAGTTGAAGAAAAAGACCTGTTATAAAAAAAGAGATATTAGAAGCTATTCAGGATATAACAACAGCAATAATGGATGAAATAATAATATGCAAGTAGAACAGACAATGATAGAATATACTGGACAACAACTCCTCCCAGAAGAAGTAGCCAAAGCACAAATAGAAAAACTTTTCGAAGAATTTTGAAAGTATAACAGAGGAGAACTAGAGTATACTGAACTTGCACTTATAGAAAGAGATCATAAATGTTTTTATGAAGCAATACAAAAAGGAGAAGACCCAGTTGTTAAAATTATAAAAGAAGAGATAGTCAGTATTATGGTAGAATTAAGGATGGGTGACAGATTAAGAAGTTTACTAGAAAATAGGGAAAGACAAGATGCTGAAATAAGGTCGAAATTAGAATTAGAATGGAGAAAAAAACTTCAAGAGCAAAGAAAAAATCGACAAAAACATCACAATAAAACAACCCTGAAGTCTATAATACAACAATTCAAAGAATCTGTCAAGACTATCGTAGCAAATCAACAAGAAATTAGAAGGAAAGCTAAAAAAAGAAAAAGAGAAGATGCAAGTTCGATAAAAGAAAAAGAAAGCTGCTAAAATAAAGTTGAAGTTAGATCTAGATTGGAGTAAAAGACTTTAAGAACAAAGAAAAACTTGATAAAGGCAGCAGAACCAAAAAGTACTAAAAACTCTAATATAACAGTTTAAAACATCTGTTGAATCTATAGCATTTAGACGAGAAAAAGAAAAAGGAAAATCAGAGAAGAAAGAAAAAAAGAAGCAAAAGACAAAACATTTTAGATCTTACAGAAACAAAAATGCGAAACAAGATTCAAGAAGAAACAAAACCAAAAATTGTACTAACAACTCCGGCAGAATGGTTAATAGAAGTAATATATCAAGTTAGTATCAAGGACTCACAACATGATAACAGGATATGAAAAAAGAAAAAGAAAGAGTTGCTTGCAAATGGATATATTGTGTGAAATCCTATTGGAATCTTGGATGCCTTGAAGACCAAAGAAGCATGGATTTGAATTCGCTTCAAGATACAATAGCTTATAGACAGAAAGGTACCAAAAATTGGAAAAAGAAGAAAAAAGATATATTATTGGAGATACTAGAAAAGATCTTTGTAGAAATCTTTGAGAATCAGAGAATCTTTGTTGAAATTCAAGAAAAGTTTTTGGGAAGAAAACCAAAGCCTAGGAAGAAAAAGGAAAAGAAGAAGGCAAAGAAAAGGAAAAGAGAAGACCTCTATACTCAGAACATAGAAGAAAATAAATCTGAGTGGACTATACAAGACTACGGAATAGAAAGACCAAAAGAAGGCCCAAGATTTTTTAAAAAAAGAAAGCTTACAGAAGAGTATCGGCAAAGAAAGATCGCAGAAAAAGCTACCAAGAAGCAGGAAAAAACCACGAAGCTATGAAACATAAGGCCCTAAGAAATAGGTTTTTAATCAGAAAGGACAGGTTTAATTGGAAGAAGAGGAAAAGGAAACACAAATATAAACAAGAGATTTCTGGCAATAACCCCTTAGGCGATACAAATTAATATAATTGATTTTCATATCCTGGCCGGGTCAGTGAAACGAGATTCAAAAATTTTTTTTTTTTATAATTGACCAATAGGATTCGTCAATTTCAAATCACATGACAAATAGAAATGATATGCATAATCAGGCTTTAATTCTGATTGGTCAATCACTAAATGTATCGTCACATATTACACTGCATATACCATCTGACTTTAAACGAATTGTAAATATTAGTAAAAGAAATGATTATCAGGCCCAGGGGTTTGAAGAAAAGCGTGTGTATATGAATTGTAAGGGAGGAAGAAGGCATTATTAGGATGGCAGTTTAAGAGATCATAGCCATCTTTTGCTTCGCTATCGCTCGCCTTAGAAAAGGCTGGCTCATTCATTCCACCCACTCCCCCCAATAGTAAGTGGCTCAACAGCTATGCACAGTGCAATGACCACAGAATCAGGCCTTGGTTTATTCTCCAGGAATAAGGGCTCCACGGCTGCTTTAGCAGTGCAAGGACCTTCAAAGTTGTTTTTTGGCTCCGCGGCTGTAATGACTGTGCAAGAACCACGAAAAAGTTCATAACTACGCATTAGGAAGCAAACATTATTTATCAGCTCGATTCTCTTTTTAGCTATGCAAATACCACTTATCGCTCTGAGAAGATCATTCAGCATTGTCTTGGGAGGTAGTTTGTTGGGCTAGATAGTTGTTTGGTCTGGGGCATTAGAATGGCGCAGGATTTAGAGGGAATTTAAGGTAGGAACTGTGATGGTTAGTTTGTTTGAGACTGACAATTAAGAAGGGCACTGGTTGTACCGGTTACCGTTCTTGTGAGGGTAGAATCGGCTTGATAGCAAACCTATTCCCATATGTTTTTTCTTCGAATAACAATAAAGTCTCTGATCAGGCAATAATAATTCGTATTATCTTCTTTACAAAATTTACATTTTTCATATTTAGAGTTACTAAATAATAAGAATATATATAATATATAGTAATTTTATTTCATCTACCATGTTATTATAAATGTTATATCAAATGTAAATAATTTTGATACTTACCGACTAAATTAATGCAAATGAAGAGTATTAGGTAATGGTAAATAAGGGTAATGGTAAATAAGTATTTATGTTCTTGATTTGTGATCTTGATACTAACTTGATATATTATTTCTATTAACCATTCTGCTGGAGTTGTTAGTACAATTTTTGGTTTTGTTTCTTC